AACCGTTCGGGAAGAGTCGCAGTGGCCCCTCCCTTTTCCGAACCCCTTCGCCTCAGTTCGCACGCAGAGTCCCTTCAAAAGTCTCCTACCTTCATGCGGAGAAGGTTCTTGGACAGTTTGCTTTTCACGTCCCGAGCCATGGCGACACCAAGCCAGAATCCCCCAAACCGCCGTGCCTTTTACGGTTTCTGTCGCTTACCGGGCCGCGATTCCACGTCGTGAAACCGCCACCTTGTGCTGGTAGCTGAGCATGCGCGGTGGCCGACGCATGCTCAGTAGTAGCCGGTGAAGCCGCCCCCTGCCTCATACCCTTACTTCCTTCCCTCTTTACGTAAAGCGAGAATGAGACTATTTTTAAAGGCATGTCAAATGCAGAGTGCTGAAATGAAAAATGTTCCCAGAAGGGTTAAAAAAGAAGTTTGCAAGAAAGAGAGGCAGAACAGGCACGTATGGAGCATACTCAGTATCTCCAAGTCATGCCAAATGCGTACCCTTCCTTATTAGCTGTCAACCGCACGTAATAAATGCTGTCATATGTCAGATGAAAAAGCTATTTAATACAATTTAAAAAAAAATCCACCAGATGTGCACAGGAAGAACACCTGTAGGGTATATAGCCAATGATCTTCCTTCTGTAGGTCCCAACCGCTTGGCACCCACAGATAGACTGCTGCTACATGTGGAGTATCTACAGGGATAATAGTATTTCACAAACTAATCCCATGGAAAGACCTTTTTTTCCCCCATGGGAGCCAGATGCATATAGAAGTGTTCTGGGTGGAATGAATTTTATTAAACACGAATAAAACAGAATGCCTTTCTTGAGCAAAGGAAACAGCTTGTATAAATTCGCAACCGGCAGGTGCCTGATCGTGCATTTAATAAGAGACACCCTAAGGGATATACCACATGGCTCCCGCCTTATCCCCCGAGAACTTTCAACTTTATCCAGCCCTTGATTTAGGGAACGCATCATAGACGTTGACATGAAATGATCAGAAAAGAAACACTGATGTACAGTATGTTGACTCATCAAATATTCCGTAACGTTTCCAAGTTCATAGAAACTTCAGCTACGCTTGGGGTAGAAAGATGGGTTAGTGGATTATCCTTGGAGTAGGTCCCCCCCCCCCAAAAAAAACCCCAGCCCTTGTAGGTTTCTTTCTGTCTGGGACTGCCCTTGATCCGGGCACATGACCCTGATACCAAACTTCAACTATTTAGTGGTAATCATTAGTAACGCGCTGAGAACAAATAGTTGCAAAAACCTGGAGAATATCTGATTGGGAAGTGATGCTGTGAATAACAAATAAGCCTTTAATCAGCCCAGTCTTACCACGGGATGAGCTAATTGCTCTAAGAGGAAGCTAGGCAGATCCAGAAAAGTGCTCTGATGGTCTATGCAGAGGCTGAATTTAGCCGTTCGCTCTCAAGTCGCAGAGCCATAAGCGTGGCCAAAGATTTTGGAAGGTTGTGGTCCCGGTCATCCGCTTCGTCCGAAAAATAGGCTTCACCTGATTCAGAAAGGACCCAGTGGGTCTGCCTTTCCGAAGAGATTAGCGGACAGAAGAGGGACAATGGATATTTTGGAATAAATGAATGGTTCGCGTATGAGCCATAAAGGAATGATTGTAGGGCGGCGTCTCGAGATGGGGGAGGGAGGTTACAGTGGGGAAAAGTGGTCCTGCAAAATTCCAGATGTTCCAGATGGGGTCCCAATGCCTATCCCAGACAGGTTATGAATCGTGGCTACCAAGTTGCCCGTAGATCACCCATAGCTACCTCTACGCCAGTGTTGTCCAAACTTGGCCACTTTAAGATGAGTGGA